GAGAGGATGAACCGGACTCTCTTAGAGAGAGTTAGAAGCCTTTTGGCTTCTTCCGGTTTATCCAAGAAATTTTGGGGTGAAGCTGTTGTTACAGCAGCTTACATAATAAATAGATCACCTTCGATTCCATTAAATGGTTTGTGTCCTGAATTTAAGTGGACCGGTAAAAATGTTGATTTTTCAAACCTTAGGGTTTTTGGGTGTTCTGCCTTTATACGTACTAATAATGACAAGTTAGACCCTAGGGCTGAGAAGTGTGTCTTTCTAGGGTACCCGGAGGGAGTTAAGGGGTATAGACTTTGGTTAAGGTCTAGGCCCGGTTTTAAGGCCATTATTAGTAGAGATGTTGTGTTTAATGAAAATGAAATGCCATGCTTAAATGTTGAAAAATCTGTGTGGGATAAATCTGAATCAAATGTTGAAAATGTAGATTCAATTGGTACACCAAATGAGGTGGAGTATAATTCTGAGCATAACTCTGTTGATATTAGAAATGATGGAAATTATGATAGTCTGTCTGATGCTCATAATGAAATTACTCCTGAAAATAATTCTGAAATGAATTCCAATGTGCCTGAAATTGATAATTCTGTTGAGAATAATAATAATTCTGATTTTGATAAAAATGATCAAGATGAACTAGAAAATTATCAATTGACTAGAGATAGGGATAGTAGAGTCCCTAGATTACCTAGTAGGTTTGGTGATTTTGATTTAACTTCGTTAGCTTTTAGTGTGTTTGAGAATTTAGATGGTAGTGAACCTAAGACCTTTAGGGAGGCCATAAATTCTGAAAATAAAATAGATTGGTTAAAAGCTATGAAAGAAGAAATGGATTCTTTATATAATAATAAAACTTGGAGTCTAGTCCCTAAACCACCTAATTGTTCTCTTGTTGATTGTAAATGGATTTATAAGGTTAAACAAGAAGATAGTGGAATTAGGTTTAAAGCAAGATTAGTAGCCAAAGGTTTTACTCAAAAGGAGGGAATAGATTATAATGAAATTTTTGCCCCTGTTGTCAAATTTACCACTGTGAGAATCATGTTAGCTTTAGTTGCCTTTTATGACTGGGAATTAAAGCAATTAGATGTTAAAACTGCCTTTTTACATGGTGAATTAGATGAGAAGATTTATATGAAACAACCTGAAGGTTTTATTGATAAAAATAAAACTAATCATGTTTGTTTGTTAAACAAGTCTTTGTATGGTTTAAAACAGTCACCTAGACAATGGAATATCAAATTTGATAATTGTATGAAAAATCTTGAGTTTACTAAAAGCAAATTTGATTATTGTTTATACTTTAAAACTGTTGAAAGCCAACCTATTTTTCTTCTCATTTATGTGGATGATATGTTGATTATAAGTCCATGTATAAAGCTGATTGATAATGTGATTAAGTGTTTGTGTGATAATTTTGACATGAAATTGTTGGGGGATGCCAAGGTGATATTAGGCATGACAATTATTAGAGATAGAAAAAATTTCAAACTGTTTTTAAACCAATCCTCCTATATTTCGAAAATTATTAAAAAATTTTCCATGTGTGATGCAAAATCTGTATCTGTTCCAATGGCTTCTAATTTTGTGTTAAGTAGGGACCAATGTCCAAAATCTAAATCTGATTGTGAATATATGAAGCATGTGCCATACTCTAATGTCATAGGTTCCATAATGTACTTAATGGTTAGCACTAGGCCTGACTTAGCCTATGCAATTAGTTGTTTAAGTAGGTATATGTCAAATCCAGGCTTAGAACATTGGCATGCCTTAAAGTGGGTGTTTAGATACTTATCTGGTACAATCAATGTGGGTTTAGTCTTTGGTAAATATACTAAAAATATACAGTTAGAGGGTTTTGTAGATTCAAATTACGCTAATGATAGAGACACTAGGAAAAGTACTACCTCATATATTTTTACCTTGTGTGGAACTAGTGTTAGCTGGAAATCACAATTGCAACATATTGTTGCTTTGTCCACAACTGAATCTGAGTATGTAGCAATAACTGAAGCTTTAAAAGAAGCAGTGTGGTTAAAGGGTTTAATTACTGAAATTGGTTATTTGCAACATACTGTCACTGTTTTTTCGGATAGCCAGTCCGGAATTCAATTGTGTAAAAATCCTGTGTTTCATGATAGAACTAAACACATTGATGTACGTTTTCATTTTATTCGGGACATAGTATCTAAAGACATAGTAAAATTAGAGAAGATCCCGTCTGAATATAACCCAGCTGATATGGGTACTAAGGTTCTGCCTGCAAGTAAATTCGTATCTTGTATGAGATATATACATTGTGATACTTTTGATTAGTCTTATACTACTTAGTGTAGTTGGTAGGCTAATTTAATGTTCTTTTACTAACATTGTGTATCTGTGTTGCAGGTATAGGGTAATATATAATGAAATAAAATAGGCGATGATGTTCCCCGACCATTCGGACCAAAAGACAGGTGGAGGATTTGTTGGATTTTTGTCCTTATGGTCCACCCCGAATAAATACACAAATACACACTCGTCTCGCAGCCCGAGCGCATTCGGGCCTGGCCCATGTCCCGACCTCACTGTCCGTCCGACTGCGTCCCAACTTAGCGACCTGTCCGACTTCACCAACCGCTTGACTACTTCCTGATTCAGGGATCTGTCCTGAGTCGGACCATCCGTCCGACTCCGTCCGACTTCGTCCGGCTTGGACCATCCGTCCGACTCTGTCCGCATGACTTCGTCTGATTTCGACTGACCGTCCCGACTTCGTCCTGGCTTGGACCGTCCCGACTTCGTCCTGGCTTGGACCGTCCCGACTTCGACCGTCCGCCCGACTTCATCCCAACTTGGACCATCCGCATACATACTGACAGTCTGACCTTATGCCTCCCGACCTTGACCCACGTCCTGATCCGACCCGACTAGGATCCGCGTCTTTTTCCTTAGCCACGTCCCTGGCCGTCCGATCTGGGGCTTTGATCCTATCCGTCCATTCGACCTGTATATATATATATATTTGGAGTGTGAGAGAGAATTAGATTTCGATACATCACCCACTCTCTCTAAAAAAGCTTACCCTCTCTAGCCTCTCTCTCTCTCGATTGTTTCTCTCACTCTCTCGTCCGACGGCGGTTCACGGCGGTTGTTTGTGCAGTGCCTTTCCTCCTGTGTCTGTGGAGTTCCTTTGGCACCTGTTTCCCCTGTGTGTGTGTTGTTCGCAGCCGAAAGGGGCTCGTTCAACTGTAGGCTTGTGGTTTCTGTTTCCTGTATGCCTGTTACTGTTACTGTGGGGGTGTTTTGTGGTTGTGAGTCGTGGTGTTGTGGCCGATGTGTTTGTGTTAGTCGCGATTCGAGTGTGTATGTGTATATTTTGTGTTTCGAGTGGTTAGGGGCTGAGCCTAGCCAAAACTAGTTAAAGTTTTTTGTTCGATTTTCTTAATAAAGAATTTGATCCTTTTTCCGCAATTTTCAACAACAGATCTCTTATGGTTTATATCAAAATCTTTACAAAATTAAAATAAAAATATGACTTTGTAAAGAGAAAAACATACCAAAGCTCTAATACCATTTACAACAAAATTTTAAGATCGAAACTTGATTCTATTATTTGAAAAACCTAATCTAGACATATTCAATATATAATATCTAATTTTAAATTTTTATATGTTTATTAAATTTAATGATAATTTTATATATAGTAATAGTTAATGAAAATAAAATATTTATAATAATTAAGTTTTAACAAAACAAATTAATAAACAAATTAATTTATTTTTAAAAGATTTATTCAAATATGTTGTATAGCATGTATAAATTGGATTTCATGATATTTTTTCATCTCTCCTTATATACCAATATATTTACATATATTAAAAAAAATTCTTTTTATAAACCAATTTATATTAATTATATATAAATATATATATTTTTCTTATTTATATTATATAAAATTTTATTTTTATACCATGATCTTCTATATTCATATAAAAATAAATATTTTAAATTAAAACACTCACATCTTACAACTTCAATTATAATTTACAATCAAATTCTAATCGATAGACAAATACATGCTTCCTAATTATATTGTATTTGATACCATATAAGTTATTTTGAACAGAAAAACTATTTTTACAGAATATATTAAATTTTAAAAAAAAACATTTAATTCAATAAAGCATAATTTTAAATAAAAATAAAATAAAATAACATCTTAAAGAATTAGTGGCCAAGGCTAGATTGCATATATATATATTGGTAGAATATAAAACTGAAATTCTCATAAAAATACATACATATTTATAATTGTTCAAATAAGACAAGAATTCATAAATCTCTTAAAATAAATACTATAAATGTAATATATTACTTCTAAATATATTTTAACACCCCTAATCAAACTCAAGATCCGATCAAACAAACTTGAGTTTGTCAGAAGTGACTGTACGAATTTGAATTCGCCAAGATTGACTGAAGGTGGTGTAGTCGTCCACTCTGGATCAAAGTCAGAAGCAGAATTCTCAACACCGTTAGAGTTGGAATCAAGACTTACTCACTCTATAGAGCTAGAGTCGAAAGCTCGCTCGCAACAGAGCTAGAGTCGGAAACAAAACTCCCTCGCTTTCAATAGAGTTAGAGTCGAAAACAGGACTCTCAACGACGTTAGAGTCGAAAGTAGACTCTGTCAGTGGAGTAGTAGAGACGAAGACAACATGGAAATAACAGCATAACCGAACATGACTGTGAATAGAAGCAGATACATCAATAAAATATAAAAATATATATGAGATAATTTGGCTCTATTTTAATTATAAGAATACATACGTATTTATAATGATATACATAAATAAGACAAAGAATTCTATAAATCTTTTAAATAAGATAACTATCATAAATATAATATTATTTCTAAATATATTATGATTGTATATATATTATTATTTTTTAATAATATTTATAGAAAATCATATTCTCCAAAAAAAAAAAAAAAAATGGTATTAGGTGAAAAACCTTAATCTCTTCTCATCCATATTTCAATTCGCAAACAACATTTATCATTTGCATGAAACCTTCTTCATCACAAAAGCCAAAAAAAAAAAAACAACCATACTTAGGCAAAAAAATTTAAATAAAAAGGATGATCACTTAGGCTCAACCTTAGCCTGAAATGTATACATTCCGCCGCTATAATCAAAAGCATCGCTATAAGGATGCTTAGAGGCAGCTTTTCCGGCGCCAAACTCCGTCGCCGACGACGACGCCGACGTCGAGCTCGTGTTCACTCCATCGTTCTGCAAAATGCTCTCAAGGGACTTCACGACCTCGCTCATCGTCGGACGATCCGAGGCTGATTCTTCCACACATTGCATCGCTAGCTCGAGGAATCTCGGAAATCCGACCAAATTCTGTGTGTTCCTTATTACAGGATCCATCAATCTTGTTATGCCGCAATGGATATCGTCGTTCTTGTCCATAATTAGCCTCGCCTCGCGCACGATGTACTTTCCCTTCTCGATCGGCTGCTTGGCTGTAATGAGCTCTAGCATGACCACGCCAAAGCTGTATACGTCGCTCTTCTCGGTTAATTGTTGAGTCATGTAGTATTCGGGATCCAAGTATCCCTGTCGAAGTTGTTCGAAGTTCTAGATTAGTCCCATGATGTAGTAAAAAAAAAAAAAAAACGAGATCGGTTACCATGTTGATTGGGTTTTCAACTAATTTTTCCAATCAGCACATGAAAAACTAAGAAACAATACATGTTTTTATGTTAATATATATCATGTGCTGAAATCAGTAGTATCTACTGTGTAGCCTATTATCATGTATTCTTAGTTTGTACTTCCTTTATCCCATCCCAAAACAACAGAGATACTTGGGATGGACACGGAAATTAAGAAATATTAGTATTATATTGATATCGGTGTAAAAGTGTTTCTAAAAGACCAAAATGCCTATACTTTGTATAATTATTGTGAAAAAAAAAAGTAAGGATAGTTTTGTAAAAAAGGTGGAAAATTAGTTAGAAAAAATAGAAATGGGGCTATTGTTTCGAGATGAACGAAAATGACAAAATTGGACAATTGTTTTGGAATTGAAAGAGTATTATATTAACATAAGTGGTATTCCGTATATTATCATATCATGTGTTAACTACTATAATATGATGTGTTGTTAGTACTGTGCTGAATTTGATTCAATAAAAATGAATATAGTGTGATCTAAGTACTTACCAATGTGCCTTTCACTTGAGTCGAGACGTGCCCTTTCGAAGTGTCGGAGACGAGCTTTGACAAGCCAAAATCGGCGACTTTAGCTGTGAGATTGTCGTCGAGTAATATGTTGCTTGACTTGATGTCGCGATGGATTATCGGAGGATGCGCGAGTTCGTGTAGGTAAGCTAATCCTCTAGCGGAACCAAGGGCGATTCTTATCCTCCTCTTCCAGTCTAGATAGATCGAGCTTTTTCCTGTCGATGAAATTCGAAACATATCTTTACATCATTATGTGTTGTCTTGATCGACTTTTTAAATTTTTTTTTTCGACGAGGAATGAGATTTTACCCGATAAGCTATCTCTCAGTGTACCGTTGGCCATGAACTCGTAAACGAGCATCTGTTCTTCATGTTCGAAACAGAATCCGACAAGGCCAACGAGGTTCTTGTGATGGACTCTAGAAAGAAGCTCGATTTCTGTCTTGAACTCGAGCCCGCCTTGCGTCGAGCCTCGTTGAGCACGTTTAATGGCGACTACTTCCCCGGTGGGGAGCACTCCTTTGTAGACCTGTCGAAAAATAACTGAAAAATCACTACAAGAAAATAATATTTTTGTAACGAAATTCTTATGTCCCTAAAACTACTTTTTCTGACATTAGAAATGAAATTACTTTAGTTACGTGAACTTTAGGGACGGAATTCCGTTATAAATATATTATTTTTTTGTAGTGAATCTGAGTATTCGATCCATTTTTAGCATTCTAATCGTATGCATGGGACGTGTTTGAACCTTGCCATAGCCTCCCGACCCGATCTGATTGGCGTCGGAGAAGTTATTCGTGCATTTCTTGAGCTCGTCGTAAGAAAACCATCGCGCGCCTTTTAGCTGCGGCGCCCCCCCGCTGTCTTTCCCGCTCGGAGCCCAAGATGCTGAAATTCGAATAAAATCTCGATCAAAACAAGCTAAACTTCATACATTTTTTAAGGTAGTAGGCTATCAGAATTACCGAACGGTTTGCTTAACGAGATTGCCTGCTCAGCGCGCCGTTTCTGCCTCAGAGCATACAATGCAAGTGCGGCGAGCATCACGACCAGGACAGCGCATCCGGCGACTATTCCGGCGATAACACCGCTGCTGAAACGAACTCTCTCACGATCATCTGAAAAATCATTGCAGTGCAAATTAGTTGCTTTTTTTTTTGTTCGAATTTACACTGTATTTCACTTCCTTACCTCCGAAAATGTACGGCGAAGCGATGAAATAATACGGTCCGAAGTCATGCGGAGGCTTGAAGGTTTGGTTGGTCAGGGAAAATCCGATTCTTTGAACCATTGATCTGTTCAAGTACTTGGAATCTGAGGGGAAAAGCTGGAGCTGCACTTGAAGGTAGTCGTCGCCATTGAAGAACGGATTTTGTAAGGAAACCGATCCGGGAGAAAGGCCGAGTTTCGTCCAAAGGCTCATTTCCAAAGAATGGAACAAACTTGCATTCGATAAGTCCCTAAAGAATGGAGCTCTGAAGTAGAGTGTTCCTTCGTAGGGATAAGCGCAGTCGCAGCTTTGCGGATTGAGCTTTTGGTTCGACGTGCATATTTGGCTTCCGCAGTTTGCCAGGCTTGTCGAGTAAGGCTTTTCGGATTGCTGAATTTGACAGTAGACGGTGTTTTCCAGCGAAGCCGAGCAGACAGGGTTCCCGATCAAGCTGTAGTAGAAAGAGCATGGATCGATCAGAGGGTAATGGATAAGGTATATATGTATGTCTGAATTTTTTCTAGATTTTCTTACAGGAGTGTGCTCTTGTGGTCGGAGCCGATGGTGACTGATGTAATGTCGTTGTTCTGCAGGTCGATAAGCTGGAGGTCTTGGCTGATCTTGCCACTGATGTCGAGCTTGTCACCGAGAGCGTTGTTCTTCAATTTCCTATTAAGACAAGCAAAAATATTCAGACAGCAGCTGATGATTATTTTCTATGTATGGTTTTGAAGACATACACTTGCTGGATTTGAGGTAAGCTGAAGAGCTCCGACGGCATGGATCCTTCCAACGGTCCGAATTCGATCATCCTAAGGACAAACCAATGCAGTTGCCACGTGAGGTAGTTTCAACTGGATTCATGTTTTGGAGGAGAAGATTATTTGTTACGTACAATGTTGTGAGCGACTGTAATGTTGAGAACCAATCCGGGGCTTTCGACTGCTTGAACGAGTTGTTGCTCAAGTCTCTGCAGAAACAAAGAAATGCTCAATTCTGCAAGTAGAAGTGGCAATGGATGCAGATTTTTTGTGGTTCTTACAGGTAGTTGAGAGAGTCCATCCCTGTCAAGTTTGGTAATAAACCAGACAACATATTGTGTCCTAAATTCCTGTGAAATGGTAATGATCATCATCAGTAGCAATCGAAAACAGGCCTTTCGATGTATGTGTAGGAAAGAAATTACCCACAGTTCATTCATGTTGGTGAGGTTGTTGAGGCTGGCAGGGACACTTCCTTCAAACTGGTTCCGATCAAGCCGACTGGATTAAGGAATCATTTATGCAAAAAGAGAAAACAGGACAGTTGAAGAAGGAAGGAATTAAGGAATTCGGAGAATGTGATGAAGGCAGAGAAAGTGAGATCACTCACAGAACCTCAAGTGGCTTCACCAATCCTATTGTGGATGGAATGCTACCTTGGAACCGATTCGAATCAAAGAGTCTGCAAGGGAATAGATTATCAATCAGCGAGCAGCAGGAAGATAAGATGTGATGATAAAAACATACATACAAATACAATCTTACATATGTATCAAGGACATGTCTGAATCGAACAGCTGGCTCGGAATTTCGCCTGAGAGCTTGTTCTTGTTGAAATGGCTGAGAAAGGTAAGCAGCAGCAGCATAGAATTTTATCAGATGAGGTAAACTGAAATGAGGAAAGTGTTGTAGAACATGAATGGACTCAAATTCAAACTCAAACTCACAAGTGCTTGGCCTTTTTTAACTGGTCGAGGCCGGGGCCGAAAGCTGATGAAACAGGGAGTGACCCTGCGAGCTTGTTGTCTGCGAGGTCGAGCCAGTACAGCTTCGAGAGCTTACCCAACGACGGGGGTATGTCGCCGGTTAGGTTGTTGGAATTCAGGGCCCTGTATGTGTATTGTGTTAATAATTTGTGGTAGGAAGAAAGGAGTTGTTTTGTATTGGTTTCTTACAAGAAAGTTAGGTCAGAGAGGTTTCCCAATTCAGGTGGTATGGTATTAGTGAAGCTACATCCAGCCAGGATCCTGGACAGGACAACATTCAACTCGATTCAATGATGTATTATCAATTGTTTGTTGCAGTTGACAAAGTTAAGGTTGGTTGTTACAGACAGTATGGTGAGTTTTCGCAGATCTCCGAGGCGGGGCGACAGGGGGCCGCTTAAGCCAGGATTGAAGGATAAGTCCCTACAATTGCAATTGCAAACAAAGAAACAATCAATCAATATGATGTAGAGCAGAGCAAGGTAGGTAGATAATTAGAAATGGAGCAAGTGAGTGAGTGAGAGAGAGACAGACAGGGAAAGTAGCTCGGATAGAGCGCCGATGTCGCCGCTCATCCTGCCGGTGAGTCCCATTGTGGACAGGCCTCTGCAGTGCAGTGCAGTTAGTTAGTTATTGTGAATGTATTTAGTTATACAACTCAACTTACAGGGAAGTGACTCTGGAGGAGTTGCAGGAGACTCCTTCCCAGGAGGTGCAAGGATCATTGTCGGATTTGTCCCAACTGGGCGGGGTGTTCCCCCACTGATCCTTGAGCGATCGGAGCACCGCCGCTGCATATCAATAATAATCATCATCATCATCATAAGTTAATTATATTAGATTCCATTTACATACCGTCTTGGGGGTTGGTGGCTGCAGTGGCAGGCGGAGTCCACAACAAAATCAGGAGGAGGAGGATCCACGCCAATGCCAATGCCAATGGCAATGGCATATTTACTAAATGTTTATTGATTGATGATTTGTTTGATATTTGTCTCAGCACAGCACAGCAGCAGCAGCAGCTCCTTTGGTTATGAATGGATCATGGATTGTGAAAGAAAGAAAGAAAGAAAGAAAGCCCACTACTGTCATGTCCTGTCCTATCCTAGGTTGTAATGCAATGTAATGTAAGTTTGATAGAGATAGAGATAGAGACAGAGACAAAGATAGAGAGATATGATATTGGATGGTATTATATTCAAGGTTCCCTTATTGCTTGGAACTGAATTCAACCCCCTCCACTTTCAAGTGCACTAGTGTAGTGTAGTGTACTGTTGGGTTTGGTTTGTTAGAGAGAGAAGATGCATGAGAGAGAGAGAGAGAGTGTGTGTATGGAGGTTAATTTTGGTTGCATCATGATTAATCTTGTCTTAGAAGAGAAGATAAGGGTGGTGGCTGTTGAATTTCTTACCCTGAGTGCCCATCCATCCATCATTGATATCATTGATTGTGTAGCAAGCAAGCAAGCACTCTACAATCATTACATTTCATGCTGCTCCCTCCCTCCAGGTGGTAGTGTCTTTCTTCACTACATCATGATCAGGATTATGGATTGCTTGCTTGCTTCCTTCTTGTCTCTCCAATAAATTTGGCTACTGCGAATGAATTGAGTGAAAATGATTTAGTATTTGGTTAGTGGGGAAGTAGCAGCACTGCCGCAGGGAAATAGAGGCTGTTTAAAGCAATGCTTCATTGCATACCATACCATACAATGTAGCACAATCATGTAGTATATGTTAAGACAAATATAAAGTCAAAACACATTTCTTCAAATTGCATCACAACATCATACTAAATGATACATTTGATTTGTGGACATTCAATCCCTTTACCCCCAAAGCAACTTAACTATCAGACCATTCATTAACCCACAAAATTGACTCACAGCACACACACTATACACATCCAATTCAGGTTTATGCTAATAAGATGACATCTCATTTCACTCTCTACTCTCTTCCCTCACCAAGAAGCCACTGCGCAAGATGTGTCAAGTATGGCTTTGCGCTCGAACCACTGCTCAACATCGGTCCTAAACTCCCAAGCTCTCTTGCAAACTCCTTTTCAAATTTCCTGAAGGTAAAACAGAGAGCATCATCGACAAAACATACATGAGAGAGAGAGGAGAGAATCTGTTCGGACATACAGTATAGAATCGATGACTGTTGCATTTTCAGATGCCATTCCCCGCTTCTGAGATGACGTTCTTAGTTTCAATTGTTTGTATTTATCTACGGCAGGGCTATCTGTCCCAGGCGCATCAGCTGAATAAGTTAACAACCATTGAGCTGCCGCTGCATATTGAAGGCATATTGATTTCATTTTCTCCAGCTTCTGCATTTCAAGAAAGTTATTGATGAGAAAAGAAACCGAGAGCAGTGCAGTGCCCTCACCGTGCAGAACTATCATGTGTATAATTAGAGGCACACTTCAGTTTATGACAAGAGAACACTTCATTCAGAAATGCGGTTTGCGTTGCACAGGAAAATAAATGCAATTTCAAAATGTTCTAACAAGGGGATGAGATCCTGGTATTTTCACATTCATATATATGAGGAAATAGCATTATCTATGGCGAAATCCAACACATACCTTGAGAAGAACAGGTGAAAGAAGCAGGCATTCCCTCAAACACTTGTCTAGGAAAAAGTCGTGGTATTGTATAACCTGCCATCAGGAAACTAATGTATTGACGAAAATCTAAAAGCCGCTCTGGGATAAAAGATTACTACTTTTACATTTGATTCTTAGAGAAATGAAAACAAAAGCTACTCGAACAAGGATGATTAACAGATAACCTCCTACCTCATCAATGCTCTTTGCAGTCTGGAGTTTATTACACATGACATGCCAATTCGGCTCAAGAACCTAAACATAATGAGCAGAGTAACACCATAACAGGAGATCAATGCAAAATAAGGCAATTATAAGCTCATTTTTGCATGTAATCTATTTCTAAGGCAGCCGGCATCCTGAGTAGATCTAGGCTAGCACAAAAATATATAATGCAATGGCATATTGACACCTACCTCAAAAGTTAAATAATGTAGCAGACTGTTGATAAATTTAAGCATGTTCCGGCACAGCAAAGACGAAACAGAAATCGCTATTCCTTGCATATCAACTCGGCGTAGACCCTACAGTTTACATCAGTCATGAGTATCATTTGTGTGCTGCTAGTGGGCATAAGCCAACAGATTGATGAACTCATACTTGATGGAGTTGCCATGCTGCACAGAGTTGCCGATTCACATGCTTGCAGTGAAACAGGCAACGAAAAATTAACTGATATTTTGTCAAAGCCTTTCTTGAGATAACCAGAGATAATGGCCATTGAACCTGAAATAAATTATACAAGCCAATTAAAACTGAAATAATGTCCCTTTGATGAGAACAAGACAATATTACAGAAAAAAAAAAAAAAAAAAACCTTGAAACTCAATGAAAATGTTTCCAAGCCTGTAATGCTTATTGGCTCCTCTAGATCATTGCTGCCAGAAACAACCTCAGTGATTGGAATATCTTTGAGAATGTTCAAACTTTTCAACAGAGTAGTCCTTTCCTGGAAATATATATATATACATTATCAGGCATGTGGTAAATATGGTTGATGATTTCAAGTGATACATAGGCTGCATTGCAAAATAAAGCACTTACTATACAGCACGTCAAGTCCTCATGATATGGATCTGCTACAGCTGCCGACGATCGCAATGCAAGGTCCAGCAAAGACTACACAGAACATGAGAAAACGTTAGAAATTGATAACAATGCTTCACTCTATTAGAATATTTAACATTTTATCTTGAATAAATTATACTCCCTCCGTCCAATTTCTATTGTCCTAAAGTATATTTGCACAATTTTTTAGGTGATTGTCTTTTTGTTATGAATTGACAAATTTGCTTTTGATTGTATGGTAGAGATGAAAAGTAATAAATGAATGAAGGGTAAAAATGTAAAATTTGTGTTAAAAAAGGAAATAGGACAATAGTTGTTGGACGTCCCAAATAGAAAAGTAGGACATTAGTTTGTGGACGGAGGGAGTATATAGTTTTCTCAAGGGAGTTTTAATATATGTAAAAAATAAACACCTGCAGTTTTTCAGCAGATATTTCGTCGGGCTTTTTCAAGAGTTCTTCCCGTGCTATATCCATAAAGTGAACCAAGAAATCACCCTGCAACCCCAATTGAAAAATATACATAATTAGAGTTATCCTCCAAATGTTAAGCTCACATCCTATTAGGCAAGACAGTATTCACTCTAAACAGAAAATAACAATGGAATTGTCAGAACCAGATATGGCCATCAAATAAAAAGTTTTTCAGTCAAAATCCAACACCACCAAACACAAAATAGCAGTAAACAATAAGAAATATAACACCCACACAAATATAAAAGCTCCTTTATCATGTGATAGCTTCTTACTGGCAAGCCTTAGGTTAAAACAATTAAAGGCATTATTCAACACAGGCCATACCTGATCAAGAAGCAGGTAATGCTTGATGGACCTTAGCTTTCCCATTAAGTCATACTGCAGTAGAAATGAGAAATCATCAAACAAAATAAAGAAAATGGGTTTTCACAAAAATAAGAAAGCAATCAACATCAAAAAGAGAGCCACTTTGTTTAACCATACCTTTTCTTTTATAAGATTCAATAATTCACCACTAGCAAATTCATAAGCAGCTTTTATGCACTCAAGGTAGCGATGATTAGACCCAACAGTCGTCAGTTTTAAATTTTCTGCTACAGGAACCTAACAAAACAATATGATCAATGGCCAATGTACTTAAGCTCAAAGAATAATGAAAATACAAAAATTGGTTAGTCTACCTGAACACCATATCCACATTCTCTCATAACATTTAAGTACTTTCCAGTAGTCAAAATTGTTTCAGCAGCATTTGCAAGGAAACTAGGGATATCATCCTTCAGACTGTAACGCTGATGCCAATATTTGGCATCATAATCTTGTTTGAGACTTTCCTGTTAGAAGTAAGATAAGGTCATACTCCATAGCTTAAGTCTGGTGTAGGGACTTATAGATGAAACCATACCTTTTCAAGCAATTTGTTCTCGGCAATAAAAAACTCGCCATAAGGATCATCAATTACACCCTCATAGACCCACCTTCAGTTAATTTGAAATTTCTATCAGAAATAAAACCAACTAGGGAAAAGAAGATAACTAATATCTTGAACAGAAAAATGTGGGAAATCACCAGTTAGTTGATTGTCATAATTCGCACACATTATTTTTCATTTAGAAATGCATTGATATGTCAGACAAAGTTTTGTTAATGTGAAGATATCTTATCATTTTTTTTTTCTCCAAATTGTAGTGAAAAAGACAGCATGTAAGTTAAAATAAAATATAATAACCCACTGATAATTTACTGTTCCTCTAATCTATAACTATAGAAGGATCTTCCTTCCCATGGAATGTAGAATGCAAACCATGTCTTTATTTCTCAGGCAAATTTCTTCATTTACACTTTGCAGACAGTTAAGATATTTTAATTTCCATTCAAATATGCAAATAATCCCTCACCATCATTAAACCGCTATCAATACCATATTGGTGCAATTTCAACAGCAAAAATACCTCTCTAATATTCCAAGATATGCCTGGCTTGCACATTGTGTCATCTTTTCCAACAAAGACCGGACTACATGATCACCAGCCATGGCCTTGGCCTGGATTTATTGAACAAATATGGTAGTCATGGAAACCCCGTAGAAACACTAAAGATTATAACTGCGTTGCAGTTTCTTACCTGACTCTGTAAGAGGTTAAGAACAGCAGACCCAATACAATTAGTGGCTGAAACTTTCTTTATCACAATGGATAAAGCTTGCATTGATCCCATTATAGGCTTCAAGACATGACAAAAACAAATCAAGAGACCTTGGTATTATAGAGAAAATATTACAAAGAAGTTACGTAATGGAAGTCAAACCTGACAATAAAACCATAATCCTTGGACAGAAAGTTTCCCCAAGCGAAACTGATGTTCAAGCTGAACCACCATGGCTTGGTAATCCTGAAAAGCATATGAACTTGGCACCATTTACAGATTGAGGAATTGAACCGGACATACTATCAAATACAATCACATGTTCGGAGATAAAAATTGATAATTATGTAAAGAGATGATGTAATTGAACTAAACAGTTTGATAATTCTAACTAAATAAATGAGATATATAATATATAATACTCCCAATTTTAGGTGCTTATCACAGCAAGTAAAATGCAAATTGTCTTTGCATGATATTAGTTTAGCCCCCACCAATTAAGCCAAGTGCTCATAGTCCACAAATGCTAAGGGCTAGAAGACAAATAATTCTCCTTTACACCATTTTTGCATTTAAGTGTATTAGACTATCCCCACAATCAAAGTATAAATTACAGAAAAACAGATGTGAATCTGTAAACTTGTCTTCATACAAATTCCTTAAAATCTTAAAGAAGCAGAAATGTATCTGATTGAGTTTCGCACTATCAACAAACAGGATCTCAAAGAATATATATTTATAACATAAGCAAAGATGAGAAAAACCTACAAGAAGTAGAGTTCTGAGTGCAGCGGCAAAAGCATGATTAACAAGACCACTCTTGAACAGGGACCTTGATTCGACAAACTGATAAATCAGTAAATAGCTCTCACAAAGAGGAAATAAACGTTTTGCAGATTCCTGGAATTATTAGGTCGATGCAAATAAGTCAGAGGAATTCCAGATTCCCTACCAAGCACATGAAGACAGCTTCCATGAAAAGCAAATTACATTCATGCCATGAAAATAAACAGAAGTCCCAAAACACATTTTCTTGCCTGAAGTGCCAAATCCATAGATGGATCGACCTGGAAGGTCATACTATCATCTTTCCCATGGATTCTTCGAATTGATATATATCTTCCTTCAATCCCAACTAAGGCAGACAGTAGGTCATCAATCACAATCAATTCCTGAACACAATTTAAGCATACAGCTTCACATAATTGTTCAAGGGGCAAAACAGTAGTATTTAAAAAGAAAAAAAAAAGAAAAAAAAAAGTGTCAATCAAGTAATGCAGAAACACAGGTGACCTACTAATAGATAAGCCACAGCATCCATAATACATTCTTTTCATGTTTCCAGTAACACATGAAACACTGTATCTCACACTGTCTAATAAGCCAAAGAAATTTAGAGTCACCTGAATTGCGGCATGGTAGCACCCTATGGGCTTCTCCACTCCAGAGCTTCATGTAACAACAACAAAACAAACCACAAAGAATGTCGATTTGATTATTAGTCACATACACTAATATAGGGACCTTCAAATGAGAATACTTATTAAAACTTGTAAATTCATTAATAATAATCCAGATGAAGGAGGATAACAACAATAACTAACCAATAACAACTTAAATAGCTTAGAATCTACCCCAAAGAAAATGAATTCAATCAAAGCATACCCGAACAAATCATTCTTTGTCTCAGCAGATCTCGATTCCTAGACAAACACCTTTAGCAAGTAACTCAAACTAAAATAATTACATAAATTAAAATATGATGTGAAGAATAGAAAGAAACAATAAAGTAGTACTCCAAGAAATGGGTGAAATCGGCCGGTGAGGAACGGACGATCCACGTTCCATTTGGGAGTAAGAGGGCTGGCATCCATGGAGCTCTTCTCTTCTTCTCTTCTTCTCTTCTTCTCTTCTGCCAAGCTTGAAAACCCTACCACACCTCAGTAACCTTTAGTGATCAAAAATTTAAAATTCACTAATTTAACGACAACCCATTGCCCATTGGGTTCCAGTTCCAGACTTGCCCATTTGGTTTCGAACCGCGGTTCGACAGTTTATGAACCGACGGTTACGGTGCGAACCGAAACCGGATACAAACCGAACCGTAACCGTCGTTTGGACGGCTCGGACTCGGTTTCGGTTTGGGATTTTTCGAAACCGCAAACCGCAGATTCAAACCACCGGTTTACGGTTTGAACGGCGGTTTGTTTTTTTTTTTAATCTCTCACCATGGCAGGGAAGCAGAGGAAAGGAGGAGAAGGACCTTGGAAGAAAAAAAAGGAAAGAAATGAGAGAAATTGAGGAAGAGGAAAAACCTGTTTGTGGGGCTCAGGCGCGGCTGCAGCGTCCTGGAGTGTGAATGTTATACCTATTAAACTGTGTGTATTTTATAATAATATTATTATATTTATAATTAAAATTTAAAATATAACAATAATAATATTAATATACATATAAATAATTATTAATAATATTGAAAAGTAATGATACTATTAATATTTTTTTATTTATATTTTATATTTTATAATTTTTTATTATATAATTTAAATTATTTTATTATCTATTACAATATTTTTATAATTTAATTATTTACTATATTTATTATTTTAATTATTGTTATATTGTAAAAATTTAATTAATTATTCATATATATGATTTTTATATAATAAATAAATAATAAATATATTTAAATAAAATTTAATTATTTTTAAATAAAATTCAAATTTTTTAAAAAATAAAAAATAAAAATAAAATATTAAAAATAATATATATAAGCGGCAGTTCAAACTAACAGTAATAGGCGGTTTTTAAATCCAGGTCGGCGATTTATAAACCGTAATTAAAACCGTCAAATTGCAATCGAAATCGTCATTCGAATGATTCGATTTCGGTTTATATTTTGACAAACCGTAATCGACGGTTTGTAATAGTAACTGGCGGTTTTAACCGTAACCGGCAAGTCCCGTTCCACCGCTGTCCGAACAGCCGATTCCGGTTCAAACCGGTGAACCGGAAACAACAATAGAAAATCGAAAAACGTCGGTTACGGGTAAAACCGAGACCGTGATTCCTACAGTTCGGTTTCGGTTAAATGATTTTCGAATCGCGAACCGCCGGTTCACGGTTTGAATCGGCGATTCAGACGTCATTTACATTTTATTTGGACCTGGGCGGGGCGGCGACTGTGGGGGAGGAGGAGGAAAGAATATGGAAGAACGGATAGAATTGGAGAAAAAGAAAGAGATACAGACAAACCTGGTGCGGCTGCGCGGCGACTGTGAAGAAGTTGGAGGAGAAAAGAAAGAACGCAGAAGAAGATGCGGATTTGGCTGTGGATATGATAATTAGGGCAAATTTGGATTTTGCTTCTTTATCAAAAATTTTCAGCAAACTGAACACAAAGCAAACACACCAGTGTATTTTACAATAATAATGAGCCTGTTTGCAAAGTAGGCTGTTTCGGATTGGGGAACACGGTTCTGTGTTGTTTTTTTTTTATTTGTTTATTTTTAATTATAAATATAAAAAAAAAAAAATTATACTCCTTCCATTGCTAAAAAGTATAGGTAAAAAATATTTTTGCTTTTGCGAGTGTATTAGTGTAAAATGTAGTAAAAATTGTGTAATAATAATGAAAGAGTAAGGTAAGACTATTGTTTTAGGACGGACAAAAATAGTAAACAAGACTATTGTATTGGGACGGAGGGAGTAATAATTATAATGGAATATAATATATATATATAATTTTTTAGAGAATAAAATTTTTATAATATAAATAAATAAAAATTTATTTATAAATATATATGTAAATATATAATAAATTTATATGAAATTATACGAATTATTACACATTTATATTATTATATTCATTTTCATTAAATCAATACACATTAAGACTCTCTAAACTCAACCCAAACTCAAACACAAAAGAAACCTATAAATTCAAACTCACTTCAAAATTCAAATAAAAATCAAACTTAAACTCAAATTTCTCCAAAACCCCCTAAAGAAACACACCCAATATATTTATTAGTAAAATTATCTCTTTGTCTACAAAAATCCGACAAGGAGATTAAGAAAAATAAATATTTTATTAAAAAAAATATAAAATTAAAAAGATAATTTAAGGTATTTTTGAAAAGTAAATTAGAAATTAAAAAAAAATGAAGAGACAGATGAAATATATATTATCAAATTTTTATAAAAATAAAAATAATACTCCCTCTATTCCTCCATCCCGATAAAGATGATACTTTTTGTTAAGCACAAAAAATAATAATAATAAATAATGGCAGTGGGATTCTGGACGGGTCTGGATATAAGTTAAATGACCCAGAAGTCGGGTGCAATCGGACAGATGCAAGGATCGGGAAGGAAGAAAGGTCGGGCGGAGTCTGAAAAAAAGTGTACCCAAGTCGGGTAAACCGTAGATCGGGTGAAAGACGAAGTCGGGCAGACGCGAAGGTTTGTCAAGAGAAAGGTCGGGCAAGGAAGAGGTACGGACAGATGCGGAGGTCTGTCCAGAGGACAGTCTGTCCTTCTAAAGAGATAAGGCAAATAGAGCCGGTCGGTTGGTCCGTGGTCGGGACCACATTTGGTTGGTCCATGGTCGGACCAATTAAAGTCGGTCAAAGACGGAGGGCGGCTGATGCGGAGGTCGGCCCAAATGATGTCGGGCGAAGAAGCAGGTCGGGCGAATGGCATTTCTGGGACGGTTTAAGGCGTGAGAGGTTTGGGGAGGTTGAAGGAAGTTGTAACACGTGTCAATTGAGGAGAATTTGATGGTCGGTTGACAGCGGTTGCTGTAACCGACCAAACGGCGGTTCAAACCGTTTTCTTCAAAGGCTATTTAAGGATTCAGATTTTCTGAAAAGGCATCTTCAATCAACTTCAACAAAGCAAAGTCAGATTTGGGGATCACCACTTTAAATTTCAGTCTTTTATTTTCCAGTTTATTTTCTGTACCATACAGTGTTTAGAGATTCCTAATCTCAGGCACTAATTAATCAAGTTTAAGGATATTTTTTATATCTTTGAATTTTACTTTATTTTTGTTGAAAAATTACATCAACAAATTGGCGACCACAGTGGGAGAAAGGCAAGATTGCTGATCCTACATCAACACAAAATGTCATACAACTGAGGTCTGGCCGAATCATCAGAAAAATCAATATGGCAGGCACACAACCTCAATCATCATCAGCACCGGTGGGAGAGAATGTTTCACCACCAGTCATGCCAAATCCAGGGGAGATTCCCCCACCACCTACTGATTGGTTGTCTTATATTCAACAAATGAACAATCAGCAAACTATGTTTATGCAGAACATGTTGCGTGAACAACAAAATCTAATACAAAACATGGTGGATCAGGCATTCTTCAGATTCACCCTGTATCCAAACATGCTTCCAGCCGTGTCACCTGCTCGTTTTCAGGCGATTTTTCCAGGATCAACGTTTGCAGGGCCAACGTACGTTGACAGTACGTTTCCAAGCGTCACAACTTTCAACCGAACAGATATGGGGAAGATTCCTCTAACTTTCCCAGATAATGTTCCTTTGGGACCGAGGGTTGATAATACCCAGCCGAATGAGAGATTAGGAGGACAGACTCATAATCCCATTCCAACCGAACCAGCCTTCTCTAGGGAAGAGAGGTTGGGGGAACAGACTCATAATCCCATTCCAACCGAACCAGCCTTCTCTAGAGAAGAAAGGTTGGAGGGACAGACTCATAATCCCATCCCAGCCGAACCAGCCTTCTCCAGAGAAGAAAGATTGGGAGGTCAGACTCACGATCACATTCCAGTGTTCGACCATATTCCACCCAGAGTAGATCCGGAGGATATTGCTCAAGTTCTGCGGGTGCATTTCGGAATGAATCCGCAAACGGTGAACAGGCCGGTTTACCAGAGGCCATTTCCAGAAAGGATCATTAACGATCATCCTCTCCCGAGAAATTATAGGCCACCAGACTTCTATTCTTTTTCGGGAGAAGACGGAGCCTCTACCATTGAGCATGTGGGTCGCTTCACGGCTCAATTGGGAGAAGTAGGCAACAATACGTTTCACAAGTTACAATTGTTTGGGTTGTCGCTCACAAAAACAGCTTTTTCTTGGTATGCCAGTCTGCCGCCTGGACAGTTGCGAACTTGGGAAGATTTAGAGGCAGATTTTCATGCAAGGTTCTTTAATCCTCTGCCGACAGTCTCACTGATAGACCTTCTGGAGATCACGCAGATGCCGGAAGAGACCGGCTACCAATTCATAGAGAGGATGCGATTGATGAAGGGACGATGTCCTACGATGATCAATGAAAGCGAAATGACCAATTTGGTGGTCAGGAACATGCATACCAGACTTCGCGAGGCCCTGACAGCCCACGACTTTCAAGATCTGGCCAGTTTAGCATCCACGGCAAGAAGGTTAGAATCCTTTTTTACAGAAAATAATCATGACTTCCGTCAGGGGGGAGATGCTGAAGAGATGGTAGTGCAAGATCGATCAATGTGCAGACCACCACCAGTCCGCAATAAATGGAGGTCGGGTCCAACGTAGCCTCAGAAGATGGAGGTCGGATCTGAGGCTGATGTAGCCTCAGATGCTGACCTGCAAACTCCTAAAACATCACTGAAAGTGATGTTTAGGAGTCTTGAGGAGGAGGCTTATTGTTAAGCACAAAAAATAATAATAATAAATAATGGCAGTGGGATTCTGGACGGGTCTGGATATAAGTTAAATGACCCAGAAGTCGGGTGCAATCGGACAGATGCAAGGATCGGGAAGGAAGAAAGGTCGGGCGGAGTCTGAAAAAAGGTGTACCCAAGTCGGGTAAACCGTAGATCGGGTGAAAGACGAAGTCGGGCAGACGCGAAGGTTTGTCAAGAGAAAGGTCGGGCAAGGAAGAGGTACGGACAGATGCGGAGGTCTGTCCAGAGGACAGTCTGTCCTTCTAAAGAGATAAGGCAAATAGAGCCGGTCGGTTGGTCCGTGGTCGGGACCACATTTGGTTGGTCCATGGTCGGACCAATTAAAGTCGGTCAAAGACGGAGGGCGGCTGATGCGGAGGTCGGCCCAAATGATGTCGGGCGAAGAAGCAGGTCGGGCGAATGGCATTTCTGGGACGGTTTAAGGCGTGAGAGGTTCGGGGAGGTTGAAGGAAGTTGTAACACGTGTCAATTGAGGAGAATTTGATGGTCGGTTGACAGCGGTTGCTGTAACCGACCAAACG